CATGGGCTTCTGTTAATCCAGTAGCCGGAAGTTTGATCACACTATTGAAAGGAACATTACGGCTTGTTGACCATGTGCCCAATTGCGGTCGGTCCATTACTACCCAATCATCTTTCTTCAATCCTTCAACACCCTCCCCGACTTCCACAACCTGTGCCAATCCTTCGTTGCCTCCAACAAACACTGGTTCATCTTTACTTCCCAGACCCGAGGTAGCAAGATTAGACGTATGCGTGGGCTTGGAAGGGTAGACCCCTTCTATAGTATTCACGTCGGCTGGATTGATAGGCGACAAGAGAAATTTGAGATTCACAGTGCTTGGTGGAGGTGAAGGAAGCTTAGGGTACGTGAAAGCGGTGAGAACTTGTGTAGGATCACCATTTTGGGTATATGCGATACAGCGGTTGGATATAACTGAGGAAGTAGAAAAAGAACGAGTTGCAGACCGAATGATTGTTTGGGAAAACATGGCCCAAGAATTGTGACGTCAACGCTGGGATTCAACGCTGGGATTCAACGGGCGTCTATTTATGTATTGTTGATTATTTGTTATTGCTTGGTTGACTCACTCTTCACCACGACAAGCGACACCTCTAATGTCCAACAGGGACATTCCGGAACCCATAAAATTCTTCCAGTACGCGTCTTTCTGCTACGTCTTCGAGCTCTCACAGCTGATCTCACTTAGTTTTGCGGAACTGGTTCAAGAAATCGCGAAGAAAAGCAAAGCGAAATCCATTGCTGAGCGCAAGGCAGCTGGCAAAGATCAAGCAAAGACTTGGTTTCCTGCATTAAGCGTATTCAAAGCATACTCTCGGGATCTACAGGCTGGGTCTCTTCCATCGGGCACTACATCAATAATATTTCGTTTCTTGTTTCCCGAGGAAGACCACAAGCGAAAGTTCGGTTTGAGGGATAAGAGCTTTATTCGTGACATCGCGGACAGCCTCGGTGTAAGCGAAGACGCGTTCTGCGAACGGTGTGACTTTGCAGGATGTCCAGGAGATCACGTTCATGAATTCCTCCTTCAAAGGTATTCTGTGAGTGTCGTTGCGTTTAATCGAGCTCTGTATACTAATCAATAGACTCCAATAGCCAGACAAGGATTATCGCGGAAATCTCGACATCGTCGAGGTCAACGAACTTTTGAATCAGCTAGCTTCAACATCACCTTGGTCCCACGCGGATTATTCGAAGAAAACTCTCAGTCGTAATTCTACCAAATCCCTTCTGACAAGCAAGGACATCTTGAAGACTCTTTATCGACAAATGGCTCCCTATGAAGCTGCCGTTCTGACCCAAATTATTTTGAAAGATCTCCGTGGACTCCTTTACCCACAAATCGAAAGGGATCCTACTGCTGCGTTGAAAGATTATAATACTAAAGCAGTGAAAATCTTGACTAAGGAGAACGCTATGTGGGCTTGGGATCCATCGAATAGTATGAATAGGTCGTATCGCGCTAGATGGGACTTGGATGCTGCAGCCAAAGCCTTTGAAAGTGGTCAGGAGGTGGGACCAAGGATTGGGACTCAAATCGGGGTATGTCTCTCCATTAAATTGGCTCCCTCGCATCTTTTCTGAGATTCATATCGGCTCCTGCTACTCCTTCACTAGGTCCCGAAGTCCCAGAAAGGTCGTAGTTGCAGACATGCCCTTTCATTCTTCTCAGACTTTTCGCAAGTATGGGCAGAGACCAAATATGATGGAGAACGGGCACAGATACATGTTCAAGTCATACATGGGCAAAAACCTCGAATCACAATATTTAGTAAAAGCAAGAGGGATTCAACAAGCGATCGTCAAGCTATACATGCAGTCATTCTGGATTCTCTTGGGTTGAATGGTCGTCCGGGAGTTGAGCCCAGAATCAAGAAGAGTGTGGTGTTGGATGCTGAAATGGTTCCCTGTGAGGGGACACGGATTCTGGGTAGAGTCTATGGCTTTCTTGGTTCACGAGCGAATCTGATCTGTGCATGCAATAGAGTTTTGGAGAATACGAAGGTTGATCCGCGAAACTGCAGCAGGCGTGCGAGGCAGAGGGAGAGATAACGGAAGTAGAAGATGGAAGAGAGATAACGATACTCAAGAGGAAGAAGAGGAAGATCAATCGTGAGTGGACAGGTATTTCTTGGAATCCTCTTCGTGGTGTCCCGTTGAATTTTTTCATCATAGAGATGATTGTGTTTCCGAATCATCACTCTTGTCAAACACACAAGGCCAACATCTTGGCCTTGTCTTCTTCGATATCATGTATCTTGATGATGAGTCTCTACTCCAAACACCTTACAACCTCCGGCGTGAAAAACTTGAAGAGCTGATCATCAAAGGGCCTGGAAAGGCTATGTTGGCAGATAGATGGCTCATCAATCTCGATGAACCTTCCCAAAACTCTCCGAGTGATTGGAGTTTCGACGGGAACCATACCGCTGATGACGACGAAGAAATGGCCTATCACCGTGAAGAAACCGTTGATGAAGATGTGAACGGGGGAGGCACTGCAAGACGAGCTTTGCATGATGTATTTGCTCGGCGTATAGCGATCGGAGAGGAAGGATTGGTACTGAAGGCAGCGGATTCCGAATATAACGAAGCGAAGAAACCTTGGGTCAAGTTAAAAAAGGATTACATTGAAGGTCTTGGGGATACTGTTGATCTAGTTCTTTTGGGTGCTGCGTGTGTTCCTGATCGTGCGCTGGAGCTTAGAGGTACAGGATTTGCTTTGACTATGAGCCTGAATCTGATGTTTTCTGTCTTTTTTTTCTGTTTTCCACAGTTCCTCCTACTGCTTTGACTACGTTCTACATCGGGGCACAGACTAATAAAGAAGAAACTGCGAATAACGTGGGTTACGTTTGCATTTTCTGTCTGTCTTTCCAGTCGGATTATTTGATTAACAATTCGAATTGAACCATCATAGTCCGAAGCGTTACCCCACTTTTACATCTATTTTACTGCTGCGTATGGGCTTTCCCGAGTGGATTTGGAAGGGCTCAATTTTTTGTTGAAGAATGATGATCCCATTCGATGTACCACGAAACAATCGGTTCGTATTTCCTCTGTCCAACAAAATCGATGATTGACTTGAATTTCGTTCTATATTCTATACTCTCTAAAGCCACGAGATGGACTAGAATACACGTATACGATGTACGACAAACTAGCTCGACCAGAACTCATGTTACGAAAACCGATCGCAGTTGAATTATATGGGGATAGGTTCACTGTTCCAGAGGGAAGCAAGGTCCGTACCAATATCTCATCTCGCATATACTCAGAACCTATTGAGTCGTGCAATTGCATAGCAATACGAACTACGCTGGCCTCGAATCACCAAATATTTTCGTCGACACGAACGTTCGTGGTCCGATTGTATGTCGTTGCAAGAGCTCCGGAACCAAGCGCGGGAGGCGATGGGTCGTGTTGCGGCCGCGGATGCCGCTCGCAAGGATGCGGAAACGACATTCATACACCCTAATGCACGAAGTGGAGATAACGCATTCGTCAATGTCAATCATAGGCCTGAGGGTATGCGTAAGCGGGTAGAGATGTGGAGAACGAGGGTTGCTGCAGCGGATAGACCTAGGAAGAACAAGGGAATTGGGGAGAAGTCCTCAAGTTCATTGATGAAACAAAGGAAACGGGAACGATCTGTTCGCAATGATTTCGGAGCTCCGCCACGGAAGAAAAGGATGGTGGGGAATGGGAATGGAGGTGATAACGTCATTCCCAGTAGTCTTGCGGGATGGTGTACTACTGCCTCGAGTCGCTTAGTTTCTGTGTCCGGTGTTTCTGGTCGATGTTTTCAGGTGGAAACTTCCGTGATGCTGGGTAACTCCCTTGCAGGGATTTCGGATGACCAGATCGTCCCTCCAGTCGTTGGAACTATCATGGGAAACTCAGTTGACATTGACATTCCACTTTTCGAACACCTAGCATCTGTAGACAAAGGCGCTCCTCTCCAGAATGCTACGAATACGATACAATCCGCAATGCACGAAGATTCGCACTCTAAAAGTACCTTGTCTTCGAACGATGAGAACAGTCAACCCTTTACATCAAATCCCACAACTTCAAGTTTAGCAAACGCATACTTCTTCCCGCTGGAGTCACTTCGTTCAAAGTGTAGACAATATCCTAGTCCTCCAACTTCTCCGATCCATTCCAAACAATTGGACGAACGTGTTTCCCCCACCGTATCCCCGACCGACCCTCTGGTTGACCTGTTCTTCAAAGACGCCTTGTTCTGGGTTCCTTCCCTCAAAGACCGACAACCCGGTCTTCCTTCGGTCAGATCCATAGTCGAGTCTGGTTCGCGTGCGAATGGGCTGGAGGCGTTCCTTGGTGCGTGTAGATGGAATCCAAGAAAATATAATCCAGTGAAGCCGCCGCCCACGCGGGGGATAGTATTCGTGGATCTTGAGGATGAGTGGGGGTCGCGTTGGAAGAGGGATGTGGTGGATGGAATTAGGTCTCTGGAATGTCAGTGGAGATGTACAGATGAACCGAGGGTGCCGATATGGATTTTCGACCGCAGGACGGTATTTCAACCAGGCAAGGACATGGGTTCTCAAGCTCTTGTCGTGTTTAAATGATCCAGGGGACTGTTATCTTTATGCCTAAGTTATAACTCATGTACAGTGCTGAGGAAATATCTTGTGTAGAGTAGCATGCGGACAAGAACAAGTTTTACAGGAGAAGGACTCGTAAGGACTCAGTAAATGTACCTGTTAATCTCGCGAGCCAAAAATCATAAGGAAAGCGAGTTCGTAATCCCGCGACTAAGGCTTACTGCATACACAATCAAATCACAGAGGAATTGAAATAATTAGGAGGGGATGGTAAGTTAGAATTATGACATGTGCATGTGACCTAACAAGTTTCACGTGACTTGTTTTTTTTGATTTTCTTCGAATTCACGGATTTGCAAATTTGTGATTTTCAACAGGTCTCCAAAAGCTTTTATCTCGCTTCTAAAAAGTAAGAACAAGCAAAACAGTTGCTCCCTGCAAGGCTCGAACTTGCGACCTCCAGATTAGGCAGTACACCCCACTGCTCATAATGAACCTATGAGACTGGCGCTCTAGCCAACTGAGCCAAGGAAGCGATGCTATAGCTTAAAGATATGCAATGTTATTTCAATAATTTTATTGAAATCTGTCCGAATTCATCAAGCATCTGTCCTCGGAATTCGACCACGTTCCACCTCGTCAAGAACTTGGTTCATGTCCTGCGGGGGGAGCATCATTGAAAATCCAACGAACTTCGAGCTCTACTACGCACTTTTGGATTTCATTTTAGAAAGATCTTGCTCCCAATCAATTCAAGGTTCAAGGAAGTTCGGTGTGTATGTACGTGTGGCCGTGTTGTGTGGAATATAGTCATTGTTGAAAGTCTATGAGCAATTTTTCCTTGCACTTTCCTTTGTTAAGAGCGTTTTACGGGTCTCGCCGTCGTGTCAAAGGCTGAGGCTTCGGTTAAGACTTGTGGTCTCGAGCTTTCACTGGCGGCAGAATATATGGGTATCTTCTCTTATGCATACTCCCACACAAACGACCATCGATTAAGAACTGTATATATAGTCCCAATGTATGCCATCTTCCAGTTCAGTCCCGAATTCAAGATGATTTTTTCCGTCATCTGAGGAGCCTGTCCACTCTCCGAGAAACCGTTGAACGAAAACCAGTCTTGGAAGCTCAGTTAAGAAACTCGGAAATGGAAAGCTTGGATTTGATTGGAAGATGAGTGAAGGAGGGAAACACCAATATTGGACAGGTTACGATCTCCTTGAGAAAGAGAAAGCGTGTTCTGAGCTCAGTGGACATGATGCAAACGCAAACACGAGATATGGAAAGAGCTGACAATGGGTGCATCCACAAGATTCCACTCAATCAAGCGACGGAAACTCGGCCAACCTGGAAACAGTGAACCCTCAAGGCCTCACCGGTGAGCTACGCTTTCATTCGAACTCCAGTGAGGCTTTGAAAAATCAACCGTAAGTATCTGCTATGAATTCAAGTAAGTCCCAACCTGCGAAAACCCTTATCCTCTGCATATCAGACTGTGTTAGCGGCCTCGAACTGGTGTGGTGTATACCTAATTGATACCTGTTCATGTCTACTACATATCCCTATCCAGGTCACTATCAAACAAAACATGCGGAAGCGTCACCTCACAAGGGCCCAGAAACACAAAATCTGCCAGTTCAATCTGTTCCTTCACGTTCTCAATCGAGAATATTGCCACTTTTCCACCGTGGTCCTTGATTTCGTGAGCGAAGCCTGCAGCCGGCTGAACCTTAAAGATGGACCAAAAGAATAGTAATGAATCCACTGCATGAAAGGCATGAATGAGATCAATGTAGTCACCATGGAAGACGTCCCTATAACAAGACAGAGATCGGCTTCGTCAACTTTCCGCCATATCTCTCGTGAATTTCGAGGAACTTCGTCGAACCAGACGACACCGGGACGTAGCAGACCCCCGCACTCGGGTTGTTCGCAATGAGGAAGTTCATCAACAGGTATCGGATGATACGGATCGTTGAAAGTTCTCGCGTGAGCAAGCACAGGACACAGAGGACTCCTTCCGTCATGACGGAGATTGCTGCACTGGGTACATAAAGTATCAAGAACACGGCCGTGCATTTCATATATATGACTGTCCGGTATGTTCTTCGTGATAGTGGTGTTCATTGAACCATTATAAGAAGAGCCTGACGGTCCTAATGTACCCTGGTGGTGTTTTAAAGCGTCTTCATAAGCGCGAACGCTGAGGCCATCGATATTCTGTGTGATGAGTGTGAATTCGGCGTCGGATGCAAGATGGTGCAGAAGCTCTGGGATGCAGAGCATAGCCAGAGATACGTGAGCTGGGTTCGGTGTAGAATGTAGGGCGCTAGAGGCATAGAGCATGAAGACATGGAGAAGAAATTCAGTGGCGTCTTCCGAAATCTGAAAGATATATTATTGAACGGAAAGTAGTATAAATGACTTACACTTCGCGTAAAACATGATAATGATGCCACACCAGACTCGGATCTCGGGTGAATGCTTCGGGGGAGGCAAGTATAGCAGGGTCGTAAGAGTTCCATATGCCTCCCTGTCCTTTCTGCCCTCGCCAAGATGGTATTCCTACGGGACGTTCAAGCTGATTTTGAGAAAATTCGGCGCTGAGCGTACCTGATGCCGTTGATAAACCAGCACCCGCCACTGCCACAACGTGTCGGCTTTCTCGAAGGACCTTTCTGAAAGCCTCCATTGAATTTGAGCTAGCCATAGATAATAGAGTAGTTGTCTAAGGATAAGAAGTAATTAGATGGGATTGGCAGGGTCATGGGCGCTTATTGTTCAGGTTGCTTCTCCTCTCTTGTATCTCCCGACCCTCAAGCTTCAAGCATCATGCATGGCAAGCCTCGAGATTTAGCTCGGTTTTGAGGCGACAAAGTACTAGTAGTTTGTCTGAGATGCCTTACATTAATTCAGGAAACATTTGGTGTGCATTCAACTCAGTGAGGTATCGTCGACGTCGAACCTTGTCCTTTATGTGCTATGTTTATATCTGAATTTTTTGAGTCTCACAAAAGATCTTCCGACTTGTGAGGACGTGGAATCTGCGCGGACACTTGGTTCGTACTAAGCAGTCCCTTTAGCCAGAATTTCACAATAGAGATCCGCAGATATCTAACGGACTATCCACAGACTTGAAAGTTAATGGCAGTTGTATATCTAGATATATCTATCTATGATCTATGATGGTCTATCAATCGAATGAAGGACTATTGGAACAAAGATTTACAGTAAGACCATTCTCCGAAGAAATATCATCTTTCTCTTCAAAAATCGAAGGTACCTTGTTTGATAGTGCTTTCTTTATCTTTCATGAGTCCGTTGTATCGATCTTCGTTATCAATGAATCCGTTCTCTTTCAAAGATTCCGTCCCGCATTCTATAGCTAGAGGTAGGCGAGTATGTCTGGTGCGTCACGGCGAAATATCCTCTCAGATCTTGATAGTCAGTCTCGACCATGTCGAGGATGATCTGCTAAAATCCAACCAGTATTCTTTTTATATGCCTACCACTGTACCCTGGCTTGCATTGACAAACAAGACTTGGAGTAGAATTTCATGATACTTGCAAGCCTTCAAACTATAAGAACAAAGATCAATTGACAGTATGCGCAGCTTGTGAAAAATAGAAGTGATATTGTATTGTGATTGCTGGATCTGCTGACGTGATGCCACAGTAAGTAATACTTGTATGAGGATTGTTACAAGCAAGTGGGTAGCTTGACAGTTTTGTTTCGACAACACAAGTTGACTTCTATCTATAGGTAGATAAGTGACAAATCTGTCCAAGTTCATGCAGATACTGAGACAGGGTATACAGTAGTGCTTATGAGCACGAGTAGACGGGTATACAAGGGTCTCTTCGAGTTACAGGCCTGCTGCATATTGAAGCATTCCCAACATCTTAATCTACATGAAACTTATATCAGCTAGAGGCGGTACAAGGAAGATCAACTGTACTTACCTTCTCTTCCTCTGTATCACCAAAGACAGCCCAAGGATCCCTTCCGTCCTTGAACACGATTGCGAAAGAGTGTTTGATAGCCTTCAGCTCCTCAAATCCTTCATTCGGCTCGCGGAGACCAACGATCTGTCCTCGAAGTTCCACCTCGTCGAGTACTTGGTTCATGTCCTGCAGAGGGAGAATGAGTTCATCATTGAAAAACAACGAACTCCGAGCTCGACGCACTTTTGGACTTCGATATATAAAGATCTTACTCCCAACGAGCTTGAGGTACCGTCTCCGCCACACAAAGGAGTCACCTGTTTGTAGAGTCGCCCACGCCGTTGTCCACCCACTCGACCTCAATTCCATTTTCACCTCTTTGACCATATTCAGGACCTTGGTCTTCCTCTCAGCATCCGCTCTTCTCCTATCATCCTCTTCTTTCATTTTCTCTGCCTCTACCTCCCAGGCCATTTGCAGACGCCATTCCTCTAGCTTTTCATGTTCTTCCATCCTCCGTTTCCGATCCATCTCTTTCCTCGTCTCGATCTCCCGCTTTTTCCTTGCGTCCTCTTCCTGTTCTCTCTGCTCCCGCGCGCGGCGTCGGGCTTTGATTTCTTGCAGCTCCTTCTCGAGCATGGATTTTCTCCAGGCTTCTTCCTCCTCTTCCTGACGTTTAAGCTCGTCCTTCTCCTTCTTTATTCGGGCTTGACGCTCGGCCTCCTGCTGTAAAGCCTGTTGCTCCTCCAGTGCACGCTGCTGTTGAGCGAGTTTTCGCCTATGCGCACGTTCCGCGGGATCTGAGATGTATACAGTATCATGCACCCATTTACGGTCAAGTGGGATAGAGAACAGAGCGCCGTCAGGCTTGTTTGAAGAAAGCGGTTGTAATGTTTTAGGAGGAGGACTAGGATGTTCAACGACGACTTCGTCGTCAGATGAGGATATGGGATGCGATATGAATGCAAATTCCGCAAGACTCTTCCTAAGATCCGAATTGGGTATGCTTCTTAGTCGTGCGCCGGGTGTATATGTAAATTTGGATCTGGAAACACTATTATTGTCTTTGGGTGGAGTGGGAGGGGCTACGTCTTCATCGCTATCCCACGGAACGTCAGTGCTGGGAGTAGCGCGTTTGCGACGCAGAATACTAGAGAAGAGACTTTGAGACTTTGGTGGAGTAGAATAATTTAATGGTATCACAGAAGGATCACGGTTTTCTGTGAAGGAGCGCCGAATAGGGAAAATCATCGAGTCTGATGTGGATTGTGGGTCAGCTGGTTCTGGGGATGACACTGAACGTTCGATGCGGATATTATGAACACCGTCCGGATGAAGGACAGCCTGGTGTATCGCAGATGGAGTGAGGTTGGAAAGATGGTCAATCGTTAATGTGGCATGTTCTGTCTGTAGAGGACAATGACGAAGTTAATTTCGCACAATGAACAATAAGGGTCTCTTACCTTGACGAACAATGCTCCAATACGCCGTGATTGTACAAGGGCACGAGCTGGTTGGTTGACTCAAAGCATATCCAGTTGAACATAGAAGGAGTGACTGTACCTCGTCTGATACCTGATATTGAGGATGGAA